GTCCTACTAGTCCCTTAAAAGTCCGGGTTTGGACCTGGTCCAAACTAGTTCCCCGTGGACCACTTAACATCCCTAATTTTGGATGTGATTTGTGCGTATACTGTTCTAAGCACATAAATAGATCTGTCATGGCATTCATAAAATCTCTATTCTTCTGGACCCAGCTTTTACAGTACTAAAAGCCGTTTCAATTGGGTTAAAGTCTAGAGAATAGGGTGGTAGGAAAATTACATAGCCCCAGTTTTTTTACTATTTCAACAAAATTCACATTTTGATAATTGTTATGTTATCAAGAACAATAACACTATTTTTTTTCAGGAAAGCATTTATCGCTGGAACCTATTATATATATAATTTAATTAAAGAAAAATTAAATTCTACCCAAATATTATGTATTAATATTATTAATTTTAATCATATGACCATTTATCACCAGAATCCCTTAACTTACCACTTGAGTTAAAATAAATTCACAGAACCATTCTTTATCACAACTTCCTTCCATAATATCGACTGCTAGAAAACCATCAAGTGAAAGAGCAGGTAGGATCATATACCTTTTGCCATGAACGAAAACAGTGTGTATGAATGACATCTATTTAGACTACGATCATCTTTTGCAGCTTCGTTAATGAAAATTAACTGGTCTGGGTGATAATTTGCCCCAATGTTGGCAAGAAAAGTGCTTTATAAAAGCTCGTTTCTTTCAGAGGTCATCTTGTATAGCTAATTAAAAAATCAAAAAATTATATTCGAAATTTTAAAAAATCAATTATAATACATACTTGACATCTATAAATGTACTTTTCTTATTATTCTCTAAATGCACGTTATTAAAGTGTGGTCCCAAGGGCGTGCACTTAGAGAGGTCTGGCTGTATTTCGCAACTAGAATACACACTATTGCTCATCATGTGCCCCTTCTCGCACACGACAGTCGTGACCAACCCTTCTTATACTACAACCACATCCTTTAAAATTGCTCATCTAATCCAATAAACACGACTGTGTTTAGCAATGTACAGTATAGGATTGTTGGCGAGGATCTTCTTTATTCTAATTTAGTAAATTCTAACCCCTCATGTGACATGACTATACTTGCTGGCAAAACACGGACAAATCCCAAATTCAAAAAAAATAATTGCTATTTGTAAAAGATTAAATCAAAAAAGTAACCTTAAAATTTTGCAAATATATTATTTACAACAATAAGAATATCTACTATTTGTTTAAACAAAGATTATTAATAAAGTTTTTAAGAAATTAATTTGGGATGAATTTGGGATTTGGGCGCGGACAAATCCCAAATATAGTAATTTGGGATTTTGCCAACATGTATAGACATGACATGAGATGGCTCATGTTGAGTGCAACGCATCAATTTGGTATAATTGTTACTTTTAACTTTTCGAACCCTATTACGTACCATTTGTAACGTCATGCAGCAAGTTGCTGAACCGGTCCACCCAAGGTCAGCAACATGCCCCTGAGCGTCTCCCATTTCTCCCATTCTTTTCTCTTTCTTCTACTTCTGATCCAAGCTTACTATCGAGAAGATCTAAAGGTAAAACAATATCCTTGCAAAATATATTTGCAAACGAGCGCGACGTCGCGTTCTTGTTTAATAATGGCTTTCCCCTTTTTGATTTAGGGCCACTGCCAAACATTTCTTCTCTTTTTTTTTCTTCTTTTTTTTTTTTTTTTTGATTGTTATTATTCTTGTGTCTACTAAAATGCATTTTTCCCCAAAATTTATTACTGGGAAGAATCGAACCATCTACATGATACCCTTACAAGAAGCATCTGGGATGCTTTCCTTCTTCTGACCCAATGTTCGCTTCGTGTCCATCCTAAAGTCCTACTCGAATAATCGTTCCTACCAAGCTCACGTGACTAAAACTTCCAAATATAATTACAATATTCAATGCGATAAGACATTACATCAGATCATTAGGGTTGTTTACAATGTTACAATGTTACAATCTTATAATACATGCAATTTTACGTAATTTCCGGTAAATCAAATTTTATGTAACTTACTCAAATTAATTTACCGAAACTTACCCAAAAATACGTAAAATAGGAATTTTACAATCCTACAGATCATATAATAAACCAGAAATAGATCGATCATGTGCATTCTTTGCAAAGTGCATCTAAAGACATTCCTTTTTCAAATCCAAGGATATTTTTGGAAATTCGAAGAAATCAATGTGTTGTCCTTGCAAGATCATTTGCAAGCTTTCCTCATCCTGATCCCAGCGTAGTCTTTACAAAGTGCGCCTGCTGACGTTTTTGCTCCACCTTCTCTCAAGTTTTTACCAGGATATTTGTAAAATTATAGCGGTGCTCTTGCAAGTGTATCCAAAGATGTTTTCCTTCTTCGTATCCAAGGCAGAGAGATTGATAAAATCACTATGCTTTTACAAAATGCATCTAAGGTGCTTTTCTTTCTTCGGACTCAAGGTTATTACCGACAAAGTTCAGGAGGTCAACGTGTGTTCCAAGTGCATCTGCTAATGGTTTTTCACCTGTAAATATTATTCTCTCTTCTGATATAAGGCTATTTCCGGAAATCCAGCGACAGTGTGATGTTCTTGCACAACGCACCAAGGAAACTTAAAGAAATCAGTGATCTCCTACAAAATACATCTATAAATGTTTTTCTTCCTTCTGATTTAGGATTGATACCGGAAAGTTAGCGTAATGCCCTCGCAAAGTATATCTCTTGCAATGCGTATCTAGAATGCCTTCTTCCCTTTTGGCCGAATTATTCCCAAGAAGGTTCCAAGAAGGCAACGCACTTTGCAAAAGTGCCCTCGTAATGCTATATTTTTTTTGCAAAACTTTTTTGATCCAAAGGTCACTACCTGTTTACCTAACTTCGACCAGTGTATTCTTAGACTTTTAATCTATTATTGACTTCTTATTTACTTTAAAGGCTTAAAGAAAATGACAACGAAAAGAAAAAAACAGCAGAAAATCAGGTTACCCAAATCATGAATAAGTCTCGTGATCTATTATCACATGGAAAGTTCAGTGGCTCGCAAGCCTTGTGACTTTGTTCACAAACTGTTCTCAATTGTGGTTTATATAATGATACATTTGCTAAAAAAAAATGAAATATTACTCAAATTGGCTTAATTAAAATTCGCACAACTGATGTTTAATCATTGAATAACATCCTGATCGCTACGTAGCAATTGGGGCCGCTCGAGAACAGCCGTAGTTATCTCATGTTACAACGGTAATATTATAAACAATAGATTTTTAAGTACATAATACTGTAATATACATTTTTTTTTTTTTTTAGGAAAAGGGAGTACACTATTTACAAGGAACACTATATCTATCTATATATATACAATAACTAATTTTTGGTAATATATATTATTATCAATGTCTTATTACACCGTTCAATGAAAAATTATAAATTATGAACCTCCGACACCGGCACCAAGATTTTCACTTGTTTCCTCTTCTGACATTTCCTCTGTACTAGACGCAACACCAGGACTTGGCTTAGGGGACACAACCTGAATGACTGGACCAGGTTGAACAGGAACAAATCCACTCAAGAAATGAGGATGTTTACGAGAAGATATTCGTTTTGAAGCTGAAGCTTTTCCAATTTGCCACCATTTTTTATATGTCTTTTTTGATGGATCATCTTTTCTTGCATCTCGAATCATAACTATGCAATCGTATACATGACTGACAATGTTTGTTACTATTATTAGTGCACATGTGAATATGGTTATGAGTGGAATGAATCTAAATATAACTACTCGTTGCAAATATATAACCTAAGTTAAAAATAATAGAAAAATTTGATTATTCAATGGTTTAATTACAAATTTAGACAAAAAAAAAAATTATTTTTTGCACAACTCAAACATACCAGAATTACGAATTGTGGTATGTCTTCAATAAACATAACTAAAAAGGTACATATGTACATGGCTTCATATACACCATGGGAGAAAGGCGCTTGAACGCATGATGAATTTGAAATATCCGAAGAAACAAAATCTAAGGATTCTATATCACAGTAACTCAGAACGATAAATACTGAAGAAGCAACGACATTTTGTCTTGCCCAATGGTGAAAACTGTCGTTTCCATAAAATTCCTTAAAGAATATAAACATAGTGACGAAAAAATTGACACCAATTGCAACTAATATTATAAGAAGACTATTATTTATCAAAAAATTTAGAATAAAGTTAAATCATATTCTTTGAATCAATTAACATTACATCAATTTCTGAAAATTACCTTGGAAGAAATAGAACAGGTACATCATGAGATCGAGTGAAGAGGAAAATGATATCAAGAACAAAATCTGACATTATTAAAACAAATTTGAAAAGCTCCATGCTTCTTCCCTTGTATATTCAACGTTGAAACTTGTTAACAATTTTGAATTCAAATAAAGGTGCGCAGAAATATTAGAAATATTAAGATTATATAAATTACCTCTGGATGTGTATGATTCGACAAGAAGATTATGACAAATAAAACAAAGATAATACATATCACACCCGCAATTTCAAATCGATATCTCTCCCATATGCTCACTATTATATTAAATATTTTTCGTCAGGGATTGAAATTTCATATTTCATAATATGATAGAATAAAAAATTTGAAAGCTCACTTAGTTGTATCACGCCATAATTCGAATCCAAAGATGCAGTACTATTATAAAGCATAAGACTCGTAATACTTTTATTAGTAACCAGGGTCACCAAACTTCCAAGCATATCTTGTGTAGTTATCTCATGTGTTTCTGAAGATGCAACAAGTGTCATACGAAATAGAATTGGCCATGGGTCTCCTGCACTACCATCATGTTGATATCGTCTTTGCATAGACAATCTTGAGACATTTACAGATAATGCATTTGCGAGAGAAGTAATCAATTCATCATAGAAATTAGTTTTATTTTCCTCACTCAAATTTTCAAAATAAGTAGAACCAGAATCTGTTAGACGGAGGGCCACATCAATATTGTCTAATAAAAAGCAAAAACAAACCCGAAAACAAAAAAATAAGTGATCTTTATCATTCTTTAAAGAATCATGAGCGTTAAGGAATTACAGACCTGTGAAAGTATTGGTAGTTTGCTCAGTAAAAAATGACCATGTCCTATTGATTACACCTGGTACCGCTTCACCAGTTCCCCTTAACACTACGAAATTCGGATCAATCTCGATAAAATAATTCGCTTCTTCTTGATTAAAAGTACTTGACAATACATCAACTAGTATTTGTCTTCTATTAATAAAATGGACTCCGGATGAATTTGCAGCAAGCGTCTGACGCAAATTATCAGAGTTATTAGTGTGCTGGTATATAGTTATATTTGCAACTGACGGAACAACATCTTGACGATATACTATCGTAATGAAAGATGTATTTTTAGAGATTGATGAATTGACGGCTGGATTTATAGACTCTATGCTAGGATTCATTAATAAGACATCTAAAAAAAAAATAAAAATAAAAACGTGAGATTGACAGATTGACACTTGACAAAATATTTGAGATGTATATATAATATGATATCGCCCAATATATTATTATAAACCTTACCACTGGGTAGAAGTGAAGGCAGCACGGTAGCAAACACTGACCAAGAGTTGTTTATAGAAGGTGCAACCGCCCATATGGTGTTACTACTCTCTGTATATGAAGCTATCATCCCTTGAGACAGAGGTAACCCCCAATCTTGCACAAATACGCCGTTATCATTAAAAATTGATCCTTGTAAAGTACCATTTTGATTTTGACCTGACATTACAGCGCCGCCATTATGTAAAGGATAGGCCGAGTTGTAGGTGATCACGTTACTCCCACTTACAAGATTATTTTGTAAATCCACTGATGAAACAATAATTCCTGAGGAAAGAAAAGATATCATTTTCCAGAAATTCACTCCAGGTGTTAAACTTTGTGGAGTACTTTGGCCATGTATAAAACATATATAGCCAGGACGATTACCAGAATTACTTTTACAATTACTGATGGAAACAGCAGTTTCCGATGATGATGATTGATATATTATGACAGGAGTTGTAAAATTAGAAGAATCAGATCTTAACGTGGTCAAGAAAATAAATATTGTTGTGGGACTTTGAATAGAGACGTTCGGTATTAAAAGATCTTGATTTTTTAAACTAACAGAGTAAACTAATCCATAACCTCCATCTATTGTAGCAAAAATCTTAAGATCATCTATCTGAAAATTGGGAGGTGCAGTAATAACGTCGTGAGAATCGTTGGTCAAATTTTGTCTATCATCAAATGAACGGCTTGTTAGAAATGGGGGGTATATTAATTAAATAAATTAACAATAAATATGATATAATACACATTTGAATTCCAGATAAATCTTCTCCAATTAATTGTCGTTTTATCAAAACTTGAAGCAAAAAGAATTCCTTTCTGATCAGAATCTAGGGTTGCAATCTGAGTATTAGATACGGTCGCGTTGGTAATGCTGATAGGGTCACTTAATTGTACTGGCGTGTCCCTGGTTAAGAAAGTGATATTCATTTCTAATTATCGAATAACCATCAACAAGTGTATCAAAAAAATATTACCTTACCTATTTATTATTATACCATAAGTTGATATTATAAGGCCATAATATTGGACCAAATTAGATGAATTATTGGGGACTATCCAATAACGAATCAATAAATAATTATCTGAAAATAAATAATAGAAGGCAAATACGAATTTATTTAAGAATTGTTTATATAAATCCGATTCGATTAGGTTTTAAGAACATACCTGGTATCGCAAAAATATTCATCTGGTCTGATAAGGTAGTATTTATCTGATTTGTAGGACAATAATTAACAGGATCAAAAGGGTAAACTAGATCTGCTATAGTAAGCGTCAAGTTTGGAAAAATGAAACGAAGTGGAAGTGTAATATTACTACTAATTGGACAAGTTAAATTGTGAGATAATCGAATGGCAATAGTGTCATTGGGGAAAGTGACTAAGTTTATGGGATAAACAAGATCATTTTCTTGAGATTCAGATATAGTGGTCGTTCGATAGGCTGATTGTGATTGTGTCGAAACTATTAAATATATAATTATGCAGAATAATGTCGCTATGACAAACAGACTTGTTTTCCGCTGCGTGATGATCATGACTTTCGAGATTTGCGCGGTTATATGCTAAGTAATGCATATCAAAGATCAGTAACACTATATAAAAAATCATTCGAATTGAATTCTTGGATATACGATCTTTCAAAATTTCTTTTATTTCGCCGTATAATTTATAAATAAGCTTTAGAAAGCACATGATCAATAAATATATGATCAGGAATTCTTTTGAAAAAATCGCATATCGTAGAATTAACGTATTTGGATTGATCGATTTGATCATCTGGTAAATAAGGTAAATAATGCGCATTGCATTCAAAACATAAAGGGGGTTAGAATTGTTTACTTACTCAATGAAAATCATTAAAAATCGTCAATTATTATCCAAAGTTGTAAATTTAAACCATATGTTCTTTTCCTTTTTTCACAAGATAAAAGAGAATAAATGCTAAGCTTGATTCGATATTACTATTATTATTATTGTTATTATATTAATACAGTATTATTAAAAAAAAAAACCAGAGAAAAGCGTGGCTCAGATCTTGAGTAGATTGATCAGAGATCACACAAGAATGAACCAAAGGTATTCTGTGGCAGTTCACACAGATTGTTACAGCAAACAGGAAAATACGTGCGCGAAACCAAACTATCAAATATTATATAAATTTACATAGCCGCACGCCGCTCTCTTATAATGTTATGAGTGACACAGCCCGTTCAATTGGGGCTTAAATCACCGGTTGTTCAAAAGATACCGACATTACAGTACCAAGAGAAATTGTCTATAATTAGGATTCCAAATTTAAAATAGCAAAGACGTTATTGGACGATCATACGTGTAAGTCAAATTACGAGCAAGCTATCCAAAATTGGTTGCGTCAGAAATTCAATAAGTTTTTATTGGAAGTACATTGTTGCTGTTAACATGTTACCTGAGATAAACTTTACCACATGCGTATACTTCTTTGTCACTACCTGCAGATTGTTTCTCGAAAAATTATTCTAAATGAAAAATTAATATATAATTCCATAATCTAAAAAAAAAACATAACAGATTAAACCTTAATATATAATTAAATACGTATTACGTATCATGATTTAAAAAAAAAGTCAAAAGTTACGTTTGATGGCGTACAATTAAAAAAAAAACTAGATTGATAATATTAAAGTTTGTATTTTTATATCTCTGTTATCATAAAAATTGATATATATTACCATATATTACACAATAATGGAAAAAAACAATAGTACGTACGCGTTAATTTTTATTAATGTAAAAATAGGAATATATACTTATGTAATTGTACTATAAAATACCAAGCCACAATCTAATTTAGACGAAGACCGAAATAGGAACTTTTAATATAATTCACCACTAAGATCGAAAGAAGTAATGATTTACTAAATTAGAATAATACAACTTTTTTTCATACGTACGTATAACTTTACGCATTTGAAAAAAGGACTAAATGATATTACATATAAATTAGGGTTGTATTACAAATATTATCCATCGATTATTAATTCATTAGATTGGGTAATTCGATGCAGTAAACGAGCATTTGTTGGTAAGTAGCAAACATCAAAAAAGAATCTATCAGGTTAATTGGAAATATAATTAACAGTATTAGAAATTGGTTGAGAAGGAAAAACGATTGAGAGTACAAAGTTAAGAAGTATTCAAAATGTAATATGTCAATTTATAGGTTTGTCTCTTTACATATTCGTTAGAGCAAACTTAGAAATGAACATACCAAGCAATTTGTTTATATTATTACTTTAATTGGATATAAAATATTATCCGATTGCTAATCAACTTTAGATTACTCCTAAGATGGAAAAGGCGAATTGAAACACGTAATCATATGATCATTATTGGATCACCATCCTTGTTTGGAGTAATAGACGTTAGCATATAACATATTCTTTTTTGGTTAGAGAATAAAAAATGGATAGGATAAGTGGATAAGTATGGACGTGTATGCGGAAAGTGTTAAATAAATAATAATCAATGCTATTTTGTTGACAAATTAAAAACCATCAAATGACATTATCATTTTACTCATTTCATTTATCGTTTGTTCATCAATCATTCTTGTTGTGTATTTTATTAAATATAACGTACAAAATACGCCTAAACAATATTTATCGTGCGTACGTATATGCGCATGCTGTCAATAGATTGTCGCACACGAGGCATTTCTTAACATATTAACCTTTTAAATTATCACCAGATACAGAATGAATGGACACTTTTGTGTGAGATGCATAAAAATATCCCATTTTGAAGCTCATTTTGGGATAGTTTTGTTCGGAGAACTAATCATTTAAATGCATGCTACCATGAAAGAAACCACCTGTGGTCACGTGCTCTTTCTCGACGAGTATATCATTATTAAGGTATATACAGTATAATCAAGTTATGTTATTTTTATTTATCAGATAAAATCAAATCTTATCATATTACAGGTTAGATTTTTTTTTTTTTGCTATAAATAGTGGGAGGAGAGAAAATAAGAAATACAGTATATATATATGTAAACTCTGCAATTTTACTTGAGATATAGTAAAAGAAAATCATAATCGTACTCATAATTACGTATTTATACTAACTCATAATAAAGTGAATAAAATCTACTTAGTAAAATATTGTTGGTTATGATATTTACTTGTAGTTATCATAACTTGTCTTTGGAGATCTTCGAAACTCATGGTTGAATAACTTTCTAAAGTTTTGAGCCATCTATTTCTGATCTGAAAAAAATTCATTAAGAAATATTAGTTATGAATTAAAGAACCCGGAAAATTTAATCATATTTAAAATGAACTTTGTGAATAATATTCTAACCTCGATTACTTTATTAGTTTCAAATAAATCAACCAATTCTTCTATTTTATGAAACTCTTTATTCAACATATTTATGCAATTTGAAGACTCTTTGCATTTTGGACATGCACGAGCTGTTGATTTCGAAGTAGAAGTTGGTGGATTTGGGTATGGATCCACTTCAGACTTAGTATTTCTTGCTGGTTTATTTCGAATTACGCGACTCGAGGCAATCGTCTTAACGCTACGAGTATTGTATGGTAAACTAGAATTTATTTCTTGCTCGTATCTTAGAGACATGGTCTGTTTTTGTGTGGTAAAATACTTGGATTATGTTAATATATGCGTACTAAAAAGGTGAATAGGCTTATTTTGGTCAATCATGAAATTTTTTTCTCTTAAGGAACCATACAAAGCAACTCAATAAGTCTTGTGTTTTCTTTTTTAATGAGAAATGAGTTTATATCTAAAACACTGAAAGCACCGTTTATCAGTTTTTTTTTTTTTTCAAAAGCCCAAATTTAGAGACTCATTTACGTTTATTTATCACACGGAATTCATTTTCCGGATCGATTTATCCGATTGACCGCTGTAAATGCAGTTAACTCTCTCCGTTATACAGTTATATGTCACTGTTAGAAGTAGATAAACACATATTGACGTAAAAGTCACACTATTCATTTATTACCATAAATCATGGATGATTTTTATTTTGTTAATATTATGTCTTTACTAGGATTGTAAGGTCACGTGATAATGCATGTATGCTTTATGGAAATTTCTTTTTTAGGTCCAATCGTTTGTGATAATTTGCAGTTACGTACTTACATACATATGTACCAGGCGTACCAAATACGACGCACGTACGCATCACATATGCTCATTAGCCAGAGATAGAAACTTATATAAGAATTAAATCAATATGTAACAAGTCATAATGTAGTGTCAAGATTTACTCAACAAACCCCATTTTTATACCGCCATTAATAAAATCATCAAGTATTACCAGTATAGTGTTACAATTCATCCACGTATAAAATTTTTGCGTTCAATTATATTTATTTTCCCTAGTTGTTCATACTATATTACTTATTAGTTCATACTAGTTGCCTACATAGGAATAATAAGGAGTAACAGATAATGATGTTCAATACCTATATGGTTTTTGTTGCATCGTTTGAATCTCAATCATAAATTTTTGATGTAAAAAGGGGTTACATATATATTGGTTTACAAATGTAAGTATGTGAATAGGTAGGTAAATGAAATCACTTAAGAAAATTTTAGGGGAATGAACCTATTGCGTAAATTCGCAAATATACCTTATTTTTTTATTATCAAGGGGCTAAATTAACTAACTTATATGTGCGATCAGACAAATTTAGATCAAATGGGTCTTAAATGACTAACAATAATAGGGAAGTGTGTTAATTCGCGTTTTTAGAAAATAAAAAAACGCGTGAATTTCCCGTAGTTCAAGGTCCAGTAAACTTGAATGAAGTGTAATTGCTAGAATTATACATTGGAGAAATCGTGTAGTTGGTCATAATAACTACAAGATTTTGCAAATCCTCAAGTTTACAATTAGAGAGACTTGTAAACAAGTTAAAAGTGTCCAAAGAAATAATTGCTGAATTTGTAGATCCAAAGTGATCAGTTACAAAAACTTCGGGAATATTTGTTGACTTGTCCCTTTTCTAAGAAAAATATGCGGATCTTGCTTAGAAACATTGAAAATAACGCATTATTCTTTAAAAGTATGTTCAAAAATAAATAGATACCTCATTATTTATAGAATCTGAGCGACACCGTTCGGCTAAAGACCCTACTATTTCCTCAAGCTTACCAATTTTAGAACTGAGCAATTTAACGCATTTAGTGGCTTCTTTACAACGAGCACAGGTCTTTTTCATTTTTACATTTTGAATAGGCTCAATTGAATCAGGAAGACAAGGCTGAGATGGTGGATTTGCGGTAGCTATAATTGTCGATTTTGATCTGTCCTTATTCTTTAAAGCAGCTGGATTTCTCAACCTACATTCAGGAGTCACTTTTAATCTCTGAGGACCTCCGTGACGAGAATTATGAGCATGCGACGTATCTGACATCAATAAAATTTAACAAGATTTTTGAGCAACGATTGCTGCTACTCCTTGGTATCGTGTTAACAATTTAGAAAAATGTTCTGTAAGTTAATTTCTCAATGAATTTATTTATACCTTCTTCATGAATGAAATGAAGGATAAATTTCTTTGTGATCATCGGTTCGTGTAACGCAAACTATTATGCTTTTATATATCAGGAATCACCTTTTTTGGGATGCCCTTTTTTATTAATCGGGCTGAAGTTATTATACATATATATTAAGGTAAATGATGCAAAATGTACTCCACTTAAACGAAAACCGTAATGATAATAACGAGGAATCTGTAGTATGACTCTTCTATTACTACGTAAAATTGATATTTTCATATAATAGAGCAATATGTATAATATTAGATTGTTAAAAAACCTGCGTAAATTTTCGTATACATACTGGAAAGCCACATCGCAATAACATTTGTCCGGGTGCAATATAATATGTTAAAATATATTGTTATTTTTGGATGTAATTTTTGCTACGTAAGCCAATTTTATACACATGGTAGTAAAGATTTTCAAAAAGAAAAATAAAAAAAAAGTCATGCAGTTAATTAATACAAAACAAGCTGCCAATCAACAGCGGTTACTTTGTTTCTAAATAAGTACAAAATACAAAAGGATTTTTAGACACAAAGCATATATATGTATCAGCCCAAGTATTATACCTAAATAAGTGAATAAATACGGTTCAATTTTGATTGTTATTGATTCTTGATGTGAAACGATGCTTGAAATAAAATAAAATAATTTTGGTGTTCTCACCTTTCACAAGTTTTTGCCAACAAATCTAATAACAAATTTAGATATAATGGCTTCGTATGTACTATAAAAAATTATGCCAATCGTATAAACTCTAACCAAGTTAAAAATCAGGCTAAAAGTGTTGTTTTATTAGTATATAAATAATTTTGCAAACCAAATAAAAAATTATTAATATCAATAAATAAATAAATAAATAAGTGAATGAATGAATGAATAAATAAATAAATAAACGAATATTATATATATATATATATACTTCAAATAATATTAGCAACTTCAACAATAATTTTTAATTTTTAATGACGATGACCTCAAAAAAAAGTCTATCCTGAAAATCCTTGTGGCTTGAAAGATATCGATAAAATAAATAAATAATAAATAAAAAATTTATCTTATTTTAGCAAAATAAAGATACTGTAGATAAAATTTTTCAATGATTTTACATGTTTTTTTCTATTTGTTCTTGGCTTTGTAAATAGTAGCGGAACATAGATATTTCTATTAGTCTGTGCCGTTAAAAATAGAAATTATGCTTATTTTTAAATTTGCTATATATATTAATACTGTATATGGCAGTACTGCTTCAAATATAAATAAATACTATTTAAACATAAAATATTGAAATTTTTACTTTATATATGAAGGGTTTATATTTTGTTAATAAAAATATAACCTTTTACTGTATATAATAAACATTTTTTAAAATTAATATGGTTTTATTTATATGTAATTAGGATGTTAAATAAATCACAGATGTTTTTAAAAGATGTAAGCAGATGCAAACCATTTTCTTGATTCCTCTTTGATTTATCTTATTCGGAAATCAGGGAAATTAGGAATATCATGTGGTTTTTCTGTGATATAGCTTACACTTTTTTGAAATAGCTACGTATAAAACAACTACAGTGTATAAACTGTTTGGGACGGCTCAAGCCATGTGATGGTTAGCATCACATATGGTTTTAACCTGGCCTTAACCTAGTTTTAACCATATGTGATGCTAATCATCACATAGTTTGGGCTGTCCCAAATACAGTATACTGATTATATTTGTTAATTTATTATGCTCAAGTTTTTATAGACAATAATATTGCAAATCAATTAAAAATATGATTAAAAGGTTTTTGCTATTCGTACCTAAACTTAATTATCGCATCGCATGATGTCGGGGTTCCAAAATTCAAACTTTAAGCAGTATTTGAATTTTGAATCCCGACATCATTGGCGAAAATTACGTTACGCATGAGGGTACGAATAATAAAAATAAAGGTATGAATAATAATTGCCTAAATTTATAGCAGTTTGCAAATAGGTGTGACCCTGTGATTTTCGTGATGATGGTGGAAAACTTCTAAGTTTCTAAATAGTCTATCAATCATATGTTTAATCAATAATATTACATATTTATTGGACATGAAATCATGATTTGCAGAGGTTACATCTTTTGCAAAGCGCAGTATTTTTTTAAAAAAATTTTGGTTATAAAACTATAAATCATTTTTGGTTCTACCGTATTCGCATGTAGTAACGCCCTCTGCGCTTTATTTTTAGTCCCTGCGCATTATTTTGAAGCGCGCATGCGTCTTATTTTGAGCGAGAATGACTTTTTTTCAAAATCTCGTAACACATGGGTGATATTATAGTAACTAAATTAGCAACAGTTTTACTCAAACTATTTTTGTCTCTAATCGGGTATTACAAATGAAAAACAACTATGGATATTCTATCCCTATGATACACCTAACAGTGAAGAATTTGAGAGTATCGAATGGACAGCCTACACATATGCTACTGTTCACTATTAGTGAAAAAAAACCAGAATTTGTCTGGAAAAAAACCGCCGATTGCCATGTAAATCAAAAACTAGGCTAGTGCTATGTATTCTCCTTCATGATTATCGTCCCGACAAGCCACTTCCATTTCAAAAAATCAAATTATGACCATCGTCCGACGGGCCGTAATTTCTCCAAACAAATAAGCAATGACTGTCGTTCTGACAAGTCATCAAATCATAACTTCTAAGCAGACTGCCAAATCAATTGCTAAGGTGGGATAAAAAAAACCGACAAAGTCGGGCCAAAAAATTAAGATTAACTTTTTTTTTAACTTAAATGAAGATTTTTTAATAACCAATAATTTAAATTTGATAAAAAAATTTTATTTTAATTTATAATTTATAAAATTAAAAGGACATTTTTAACTTGTGCCAGTGGTTAAGAATGCTATATCTCGAAAATGTACTAAGTAAATGGGACCCTTGAAAACCTCCCGAGAACTGAGATCGAGGCCTTATATCCAATATATATTAAGTCATGTAAAAACTTTCTATTTATCTTAAAGCTGCACCCTAACCCTAAATTTTAATAGGTGTGGTTATTTATAACCACTGGTGTAGG